CTCCATCCTCCCCTGACCTCAATCCTATTGAGAACCTTTGGAGCATCCTCAAGCAAAAGATCTATGAGGGTGGGAGGCAGTTTACATCCAAACAGCAGCTCTGTGAGGCTATTCTGACATCTTGCAAACAAATTCAAGCAGAAACTGTCCAAAAACTCACAAGTTCAATAGATGCAAGACTTGTGAAGCTGCTATTAAATAAGGGTCCTATGTTAAAATGTTTAAAAAGTTAAAATGTTGTTAAAAGTTTGATTGAAATAGCTTTTGACTTCAGTAAATATGCTGCAAACACAACAAATGACAATTTTCAGTTCTTTACAACCTATAAAGTGTTTTGAAACTTACTGTGCGTAATAATTTGGAACAGTGCATTGTAAGTGTTTTATGTTTTAAAAAAATACTGTTATCATTAGGAGGTTTGTTCAATAAAATTGCATTGTACTCTAAATAGTTGATAACATGAGAATTATGCTGACTGTTATCTACATCAATTATTTAGGTAAATGAGAAAAATATAATTTGCATAGTAATTTGGAACAGGGTGTGTATGGCTTGTTTTCCTTTTCTCCCCTCTCTCTTTTTAGGCCTATTGGCCAATCTCCTGTTATGAGGTGTTCTACCATTAACAACAGAAGGGATTTGGCTATACTCTGTGTATATCCTCTACGTTCCAGCTCTGGATGTCTTTATTACTACACCATTGTTAATAAGGCTTGTTCATATTACCCTAATCGGTAGGTTTTGCTGTGTGGCATGCATGTAATCGGAGATGGCCCTTTAGACACGTCCTGCATATTAATATAATGTTACGATAGCCCTTCTAGATAGCTGTATCGTTTTTCAATACTGCAGAAATTTGGCATCTTCTATTTGAATATAAGCCTCCTCCTTGAAAAGGATTGTAGGTTAGCTGATGATTATCATCTCTTTGATGCAAGGGATCACCTTATATTTTACTCCGCTGTGGGAAGGTAATTAACTAGCCTTATATACCTTAATTAACACCATTTTATCTAGAATGACAATTTTAATCTCTACATACATATATATATTTCTACTTAGATTCTCTTCGGCTCCCTACTATTCCTAGCTGATACTTAGCCCCTTGAGGTATTTTTGGGTGCTGGCCTGCTTTTCCTTGTTTGTGCCCTTCACACCTGGCCCCCTGGACGATTTTCTGACCCTTTGGACATCCAGTGGAGGCCTGCTCTCATTGGTTGGAGGGCTCATGACTGTCTGGTGCATAATGTGATTTTATGTAAGTGTATTACATGCTTTATGAGCTTTGTATCATGTCTGTATAATTTTTTTTTTTCTTTTGTTTGTTATCTAAGTCTATGTATCCCTTTTAGATATACAAATAGCCCTGAGGAAGCTACGACAGTCGCGAAACACGTCAGACCAATTCTCCAGTGCCAGAATGTCCCTCACCCTCCCATATGATCATCCTGGTGGTCTTTTCCATGCCTCATCACTGGTTGTGCTCCTTCTGTAAATGGTGGGCTCTGGGACATTCATTGCAGGGATATTACCAAATAGGTTTTTAATACTATGGTCTCTATGTGACAAAATGTCAAATAAAGCAATATTGATTTTATTTATGTGTATACCCAGTCTTTGTGCCTTTAAAGTCAATTTTTAGTATTTCTGTTTCCCCTGACTAGTCATTTGCCACACAGTTGCCCAATTAAACAGTGCATTGAGGTCAGATTGTAAGTTGGAGACATCCTGTAAGGACGTTATTCCACTGCACAGCTTGGTGTCATCTGCAAAGACTGAAAAGGTATTTCTAATCCCAGACCCTATATCGTTTATAAATATATTAAAAAGTAAGGGTCAATTCGATTGACTTCTGTTGAATGGACTTACTGGAAAATTATTTTTGATTAGCGGCTGCAGCCAATTGGTTGCAGCCACTGATCAGTTTATTCTGACAGCTGCACCTGACCCTGCACTGGGGAATTTGTCCACCCACCTTTTTTGTATGGATGGAGGAATCTGTTGGCTGAATGAAAAAAAAACTAACAATCTATGGTCAACTTTAGGCTGACACCAATGTGCGAACACTAGGGCTTGATTTGCTTCCCCTTCTGATATCACTCAGTCCACGGTGCTGTTGGTGGGAGTACAGAAGGCTAATAGCGAGACAGATTCTGCTACTAACATTAGTTGTATGTAAAAATATATTTAATGATTTTTTTCATTGAATGCATACCTGGATTAAATGGTGGGATTTATACCTGCCTACAGTTCAGCTTTAAGTGAATTGATGATACCAATCATCAGTGTAATTAAATTTATTTATTTATTTCAGGTACTTATATAGTGCCATCAATTTACGCAGCGCTTAACACATATATATATATTGTACATTCACATCAGTATTTTAAAGTATTTTGATTTATATATCTAAATTCTCTTGTACAGAATAAAACTGAATATTCTTCCCAATTTTTTTTATAGAAGAAAAAGAGAATTTGGAGTCAGTAAACCTAGAAATCATTTCTTTTAGCATTAACCTAGATGATAATTATGTCTGTAAAATGCTAGAAGAAATGATCGTGCCTCCCCTGTTATTTTGCTGACAGGCTTCACGAGTTATCTCCTGAAACACAGGTTTCATATTAATTTGTACAGAGGTTTAAAATTCAACAATATCACTTCAGAGCTGCTTGTTTGTAGAGGAATGTGCACACTTGCGTGGCTGCAATCTGAAATGAACGATGATTACACTGTAATAATATGTTTATAATGACTGTCCATAAACAAAAAAAAAAAAAGAAAAAAAAAGAGCCTCAAACGGTTCAGTGCACAAAAATCTCCTGGACTGTTTCTAATTTAAGTCAAATACATACCTGACATAAAGCAGATTCTATGAAGGTGAAATGATGCAGTTCCTTGCCATTCTCTCTGCCAGTCAAATTATGTCATCAGTAAAGGATCACTGGCTTTTAATGATATGCTGGCCTCTGTACTCAGAAGCAGATTCTAGCAGAGGCAATATGCATAGGCAATAAAATGCCTGTCACCAAATTACAATTGACACTTAACATCACTAAATCTGTAGTGTAATTCTTTATGACAGTTGTCTAGGTATATTGGAAGAGAATAATTCATATCAAACCCAGCAACTACATTTTCCAATGCATATTTCACATAATATTAACACCAATGTGCGAGGGAAGACATCTCTCTGTAACATAATATGTAAAGGTATTGGATGCGTGAAGTGTAACTTATTTCTTGTGCTGTCATACTGGGCAAGCAATGTTAATTAGAACCAAAATCAGAAAAAAAATCCAGAAAAATAAAATAGCTAAATATAGATTTTATCGTTTAGAAAACAGTATATAAGGATATACTATAAAGTATCATGCTAATTGTAAAATAGATGTCTCTGAAAAAAATATTATTTGTGTGTGTCTGTTTATACATCAAATTGTGCAGCACTTTACTTAAGCTAGTCCTATATTTTACTGCAAGATCCAGTTTATTAGGTCCCAACCCTCCCTCTGTAAAAAATGTGTCTAATAGTACTATAATATACTACTTGTATATTATTAGTCCTTTTATGGGTATGATGTCACTATCCTTCTGAAGAAATTCCTAGATAACAATGAGAACCCCAAAACTCACAAAAGAGGACACCCCAGTCAGGTGCAAGAGAATCTTCTCATAAGATTTGGGTTGCTCTGCACTCCCCAGAATCTCATTGGAAGGAACATGATGTTAACCTCACCTAAGCTTCACAAGCAAAAGGCAGGGGTGGGGTAAGTATATATATAATTTTACTTTTTTCTCTGTAGTTCTAATAGGCAGCGGTTATTACGGGAAGGGGGGTGGGCAAGTCTAAAAAACAGAGCTTGCCTTTCACTGCATGGTTTTTTAAAGTCTTATCAGGGTCTAGCAGAAAAGACATGAAATGGATGAAATTAACTCTATGCATTAACTGTCCTTGGTGTATATTAAGCCCAGGACCCAGTGCTATAAGACCACAGTGCTGAGCCAATGTACTAAGACAAAATAATGTTGACACCTGTCCCTATGCAACTTTTATGTTTTTTTTCCAGCTAAAGAAATTATTTCCATTGTACAATGTATTTCATTTTTCAAAGGTAATGTACATTTTTTGAAATAAAATAATGTGTCCATGGGGCAATACACGTTAGGGCGATGGGGCTGTATTCTATAATACCAGAAAGACCGAGAAGGAGTTTGTCTAGCTGCTTAAGGATTATCTGGTGATACTGCATATGGTGACAAGTGCTTTCTAACTGGCAAAGTGTGAGTGCATTATATTTCATGGTTTCTAAATAAAGTGATGGTTCACATTATGTGGATTTTCTTTGAATATCTGCCTGGACTAGTTAAACAAGTTGGATGGTTAGAGCAACCAAGGAGTAAGAGAGTGCCTCATTACATAGAATCTCCATGGGAGAAACACAGACAGGGATGTTACAGTCTTTGATTAAAAAAGGGGGGTCATCAAAGGAGGTGAGCATCCATGCAAAAGGGACACAGAGGTGGTTTCACGATTGATTCACAGGCAGCAAGATTTTGCATGAGAGCACACAGAAGTGTGAAGCATATTAGATTTTTTTTAATTGACTATATATGGACATATGCATCTGTTTATTTGTGTGTTTTGGCACAGTTACTGAATTTGCACCAGCATTTTGATTTTTCAAGTATAATATATTGGAGAGCTACATGAAGGGTTCTTAAAATGACTGTAGCACATTCATTCATGTTGGACTTTTGCAGTTGATTGAACTTTTTACATATTTGAATTGTATGTAAAGGTATATGAAAACTAATAAGGGTGGTTAGATATTTTAGGAGCAATGCACAATTTTTTTTATAATAATATACATTTGTTGGTGAAGGATGGAAAGGTTTAAAGTGTTACTAAACCCAGGACCCTGCATTCTCTCTGTCTGGTCTCCCACAGTACACACTACATGGAAATGCAATTACTTTACTAAATTAAAGTGCTAAATACCTTATCTCATCAGCAGTCTGAGTGTCAGGAATGGACTGGCCAGCAATAGTGGGACTCACCTGCCTTGTGAGCTGCAGTACCAGGGCTGGCCAGCGGGTGCTCCCAGCAATCAGAGACTCAACCTTGCAGCCAGTCAAACACCTGGAACTAATTATACTGGTGTATTTAAGGGACATTCAGACCTGCAGACTCTGCCTTGGTGTTGTGTTTTTCCTGGGCCCTGTATCTTGTTCCTGCATCCTGCTCCTGCTCCTGTTCCTGTTCCTGTCTTGTTGCTGACCCGGCTTGATTCTGACCTCTGCTGACTTCTCCTGTTCTGATCCCTGGCTTGTGACCCCGACCATTCTCTGCCTGACCCCCTGTACCTACCTGCCTGTTAGTTGCTGTACCCTGCTCGTGACCTGACTACTCTCCGCTTGCTCCCCCTGTACCTACCTGCCCGATTGATATTGACCCGGCCTGCCTGACGCTTGCACTGTATGTACTGTTATCTGTGGGTGGTTTGGTTTGGTTCGTTTGCACTGTGTTATGTTTTAGTATTGCACTGCGTTTATGTTTGTATTGTTAGTGTTAATAAATTGTTTATAACTTATCTGAAGTCTGCGTTTCCCTGCGTCAGTCACACACCTCTGGTAATACCCGGGAGCCCTGACACTGAGCAGTCTTGTGACTTCTATAAGTGTCCAGCTGAGCACTGGTTAAAGCTTGTAGGAGGAGTGTTCATTCTGCTCTAAGAGAATGAAGAACCCCTGACCTCTGTCCGGACAGTGCTGATGGCCCAGTGCTAATCACATGTACTCTCCCAAGAAAAAAAAACAACTTCTCTACCAATGCACACCAAACTGAGCATGTGCAGAGTGTCTCCACAGGATATGTCTTATCAAGATAAGAGTAGGGCACTGGTAGGGGAGGATCAGAGAAGTCAGGATCAGACTGCATTTTTACACAATGCAGAGGATTAACTCCTTAGTTTCCAGAGTGAGTATATCAAGCATGCTTTACTGCATATACAGACTGATTTTGCTGTTGTGAGTTTAGTAACACGTTAATAATGGGGTGAGACCTCTTTTTTATTAAATTGATGTTTATTAAATGTATAAACATTTCCAGTGTAGTTGAACAATAACATTCAATATAATAAAAATATTCAGCGCTAATTCCTTTCAATAGATTTTTATTGAAAAAATTTTTTGTTTATAAAAGATACAATGGCAGCCACAGTCATGTATACATGTAGAAGTATAGAACCAACAATGACAAAATGAATGCGCCTGTATAGAAATCTGTAAAGCCGTAACAAAGGTCAAAATAGTTGGCATTGCAAAAGTACAGTAAACATATCGTAACAATGATATAATAAGGATAACAGGCAAATCGCCATACGCTTATGCCACGAGAGTGGGCGTTGGTGAGAGAAGTATCTGTATGTAAAATTAACTAAAAGTCGAACTAGGAAACATAGAGGAACAAACCATATATTGACCCTGTGGAAGATTCCAAAAAAAAAAGAAGGGGAGGGGGAAAGGGAAGAGAGAATTGAAGGAGCAAAAGATAGGAACAAGAGAAGGATGTTTGGAGCACCTGAGCCGGGGTCTCAGTAGTTATAGCAATGTAAAGTTGGCTGGTGACATAGTAGGGTGGGCATGTTGGATCTATAGAATCCATATTTTAAGGAATTTCTCATGGGTATCCAAGAGAATACTTGAAAGTTTTTCATTTTTCAAGTCTAAGCAGTAGTGGACCTCCATGAAGGACATAAATTGTTTTTTCCAGGCTTTCACTACGTTTTTTTGCCACCAGTAGCATGTAGATAGCCAGTTGAAATTGGTATTTGGTAAGGCCCGAGGGGCGCAAATGTAGAAGGACATGCTACAGGACCCTTGGGAAGGGATAGTTAAGTAATGAGTGTAGAAGCTTAAGTACTTTTGTCCAGAACTGGGAAAGCATGAAACACATCCACTACGTGTGGAGGATGTCTCCCGTGGTAGAACATCCCCAGAAACAGGTACCAGAGGTTGATGGGTGAAGATGTGCCAGGCAGGATGGGACCAGGTACCACCTCATAACAGTTTTGAAAGCCAATTCAATAGCGAGGATGTTAATAAAACAGGAGGTCAAGGTGGTCCAGATTTGAGACCAGCAGCCCCTATCTTTGGTACTGTTAAGAAACCTTTCCCACCTGGAAATGTAAGTGTGATTGTTAGGATTTTGAAGATTGTGAGTAGAGGTTCGATATAAGTTTGGGGAGAAGGGTGTCCGATGACAAATGTGTTCAAACATAGACAGTTGAGTAGTCAGGTCTTTATCAACAAGCACCAAGGTCAGCCACTGTTTGATTTGGAGGAATCGGAAGAGTTGAGTGTGAGGAACTTGGTGTTTGTCCCTTATTTCTGCCCAGGTGTAGACAGAGCGAACAGTGAGAAACGAATGGACACAGTGAAACTTGTGGGAAATCCACCAATGTAAAGCTAGGTGACTCAAGGCCTGGAGAGAGCATAGGGTTACCTAAAAGGGGGAGGAGGGGTAGATGGGGGGAGAGTAAACCACTAGAATATTTGGTGGAGTCCCACACTTGCAGCGCATGGGACATTAGAGGGCTAACAGTTGTCGGTCCAAATTTTGGAGGAAGCCACAAAAGAGAGCAGGGGCAGACTGGAAAACAAGAGAGCTCTTTCAAAGTAACCCATGTAAGGGCTTGTTGTGTGGCATATAGAGAGGTCACAGATGCAATCTGAGCCACCATATAATATTTGGAAAAGTTGGGAACCCCCAAGCCCCCTATTCTGCGATAATTCCAATGTCTGTATAAATCATAAATACATTGACCAAATGTAGTTAAGGTAAACAAATTTTTCATACACAATATCTGTAACTTATATGCAATGCAAAAAATTATGAGAAAGTCCATGTGAAAATAAAAACATACTGTAAATGTCCAGAAAAGAAGTGAGAAATCATGACCACATCCACAAAGGCTGAAGATGAAGGTATCCGAAAAGGCTTCCACCAGATAACACCATGCAAGCTTACCAGATAGCCATGACCCTCTTATTAAAGAAAGGTCATATAATGCATAAGCATAACAATTCCATGGGAGTCTCCTCTCATATGGTCCTCAGAAGATGTGCTCCAATCAGCATATACCTCAGCACTGTAAACATTCAATAAAACAATGTACAAAAATCATACTTTGAAAGAATTCAATAGCTGTAGGTATACAACATCAACCACAATGTCTTGCGCTAAATGATCTGCCTATTACAAATAATTCAATGGCATAAAGCAACATAGTACTTATGGTTTTAAGTCTATTACCGCTAATAGGAGCTACACAATTCTGCTAATTACCAAATCCAGTGGAATTAAGCCTGGAGTATCTAACCATTGACCATATTTTCTCAAATTTATCAGGACAGCACCTGTGTTGGTAGAAATAGCATTCAAGTCTTAATGTATCTCTAAAGCGTCTTATCCACTCTGTAAGTATAGGGGGATCTACTGACTTCCAGTGTTGTAAAATAAATTTATGGGTTTGAAATAAAACCCTGGAGATCGCCACTCTGGTAAACTCCTGTACCTGGATAGTGTCCAAAACCATCAATAAATATTGCTGTGGGTCAACCTGAATAGCGTTCTGGATTACCTTATTTAGTGTATCTATATTCTTCTTCCAATACATATGGAGTTTGCACAATGCTATCCATATTAAACGAATTAGATCTCCACGGTCCCTGCAACACCTGCCACAAAAGGAATACTCCAAGATACCCATGCTAAAAAAGTTCAAAGGGATATGGGGAACATGTAAAAGAATTTGCAATTCTGAAAGCTTCTGAGATACATTTGGAGAACAAAACTGAACTGCTTGTGAAGCAAATTCCCACTTTAAAGAGATGATCATCAAGGAAAGCAACCAATGGCATGGCATACAGTATGTAGCAGTGAGAAATTAAACCCTTAGAGGTTTCAGTGTTTTGCATTAAGTTAAAGAGTGGGGTGGGGGATTGACACTACACACTAGGATCACTGTGTGCTCTCAAAGCATTCTGTAACTGCAAATAATAAAAATATGCCGTGGAAGGTTGAATCTGGTCTGTAAGTCAGAGAAGGGTAACAAAGAGACATCCACAAATATATGACGTAGATGTGTAATTGCAAACTGCTTCCATTTGTTGCCATGTTTTGAAGCTTGGCTAATTCAGCATAATTGTTGTTCTGCCAATTTGGAGGAAAACAGGTAAAACCCAAAACATGCTGAAATTGTCTGACTGCATTCCATATTGTTTACATTAGAGTGTATGTAGAGAATTGTTGTTTAGATTTAACAATTACCAGAGCTTCCAAACCTGGGGGTACATCCCCTGCGCTTGTTAAATATAAAAGAAGTACTGTTGTCAGGTTTGGTTTGGGTACATCTATTCCTTTGTACCATACTACTCATCATGTGTTGCAATTGTGTGGCCACATAGTATAGTCATGGGCTTGGCAGAGTTACTTCACCCCCCATCTTTTGGGTATTGCAATTATTCTAGCTTTACCCTGGGTGCTTTACTGTTCCACAGCAAGGTCCAGAAAATAGAATTAAAACCCAAAACATTTTAGTAGAATGCCATAGGGGTATTGTGCATGATATACAGGGATTGAGGCATAAGGATCATTTTTATGAGATTAGTTTTCCCTACAAGTGCCACAAATTGCTCCATAGCTTAACATAATCCCTACATTGAGCAAACAGGGAAGATACACTATATTGCCAAAAGTATTGGGACACCCCTCAAAATCATTGGATTCAGGTGTTCGACTCCCCTCCATGGCCACAGGTGTATAAAATCAAGCACCTAGGCATGAAGACTGCTTCTACAAACATTTGTGAAAAAATTAGTCGCTCTCAGGAGCTCAGTGAAGTGAAATCAAGTATGGCATAGGTTGCCACCTGTGATATAAGTCCATCTGTGAAATTTCCTTGCTACTAAATATTCCACAGTCAACTGTTAGTGGTAGTATAACAAAGTGGAAGCAAATGGGAACAACAGTAACTCAGCCACAAAGTGATAGGCCACATAAAATGACAGAGCAGGGTCAGCGCATGCTGAAGTGCACAGTGTGCAGAAATCACCAATTGTCTACAGAGCTAGAGACCTCCAAATTTCATGTGGCCTTCAGATTAGCACAACAGTGTGTAGAGAACTTCATTAAATGGGCAGCTGCATCCAAGCCTTACATTGCCAAGTGTAGTTCAAAGCATTGAATACAGTGGTGTAAAGCACGCTGCCACTGAACTTTAGATCAGTGGAGATGTGTTCTCTGGAATGACGAATAATGCTTCTCTGTCTGGCAATCAAATGGATGTGTCTGGGTTTGGTGGTTGCCAGTACTTGTCTGACTGCATTGTGCCAAGTGTAAAGTTTGGTGGATGGGGGATTATGGTGTGGTGTTGTTTTTCAGGGGTTAGAATTGGCCCCTTAGTTCCAATGAAGGGAACTCTTAAGGCATCAGCATGCCAAGACATTTTGGACAATTTCATGCTCCCAACTTTGTGGGAACAGTTTGGGGATGGGTCCTTCATGTTCCAACAGGACTGTGCAGCAATGCACAAATCATGGTCCATAAAGACATGGATGAGCAAGTTTGGGGTGGAGGAACTTGACTGGCCTGTAGAGAGTCCTGACCTCAACCCAATAGAACACCATTGGGATAAATTAAAGCGGAGACTGCGAGCCAGGCCTTCTGGTCCAACATCAGTGCCTGACCTCACAAATGCATATCTGGAAGAATGGTCAAACATTCTTATAAACACACTCCTAAGCCTTGTGGACAGGCTTCCCAGAAGCGTTGAAGCTGTTCTAGCTGCAAAGGGTGGACCAACTCAATATTGAACCCTATGGACTAAGACTGAGATGCCAATGAAGTTTATGTACTGTACATGTAAAGGCAGGCGTCCCAATACTTTTGGCAATATAGTGTATGTTAAGATGACAAAAATTAGTGAGTGTTCGGGTGACCTGAATCCCTAAATTTTTGAAAGGAGTCGTAAATGGTATAGGAAACGTCTTGGCCACTAGCTGAGACAAATTACCATTCAATAGCATCAAAGCTCATTTAAAACAATTTATAATTTATAGTAAGATCTGAGAATCCTCCCAAATTCAGAGATAGTAGACATTGTCACTTGTAAAGAAGAGGTGGGGTAACCCAGCATCAACATAAAGCATAATTTGGTCATTTTGTGGGTGTTTCTATTATCCTTGTTTCACAGGGCCTCCAAAAATGTGATAGGTAGTCAGGAAATTATATGTAAAATTTATGCCCCTAGAAAGCCTAATGGTGCTCCTTGGATTTTGGGCCTTTCTGTGTGCTTAGTCTGTAAAAAAGTCTCACACATGTGGTAACGCCATAATCAAAAGAAGTAGCAGAATGCATTTTAGGGGATAATTATAAGTACAGTATGTCTCTGCTGTGTGTTAGAAATATCTTATCAATTGACAACTTTGCGTTAAAAATACATTTTTATTTTCATTCCACATTTTCCAACATGTGGCTGAAAAATTAAGTCTTCAAAAGACTCACCATGCTCTTTAGAAAATACCTTGGGGTGTTTGCTTTCCACAATGTGCATGTGCATTTTGTGGATGTTTCTCCTTTCCTGGCACTGCCCTCATGCCCAGAGCCTTTAAAAATGTGATAGGTAGTCAGGAAATTAGAAGTGTAATGTATGCTTCTAGAATGCCTGCTCCTTGGATTTTTGGCCCCTCTATGAGGCTAGGCTGTGAAAAGGTTTCAAAGGTGGTATTACTATATTTGGGATCAGCAGCAGAATGTGTTTTGGGGTGTAATACTAAGTATACCTATGATGTGTGTTATAATTATCTTACTAATTGACAACTTTGTGTAAAAAAAATATGTTTTACTCTCCTGCATTTTCCAAAATTGTGTGGCAAAAAATTAAATTTACAAAGACTCACTTAGGTTTATTTACTAAAGCTGGAGAGTGCAAAATCAGGCTCACTTCTGCATATGAACCATCAACTTCTAACCTCAGTTGGATCAGCTAAGCTTTTGCAATAAAATCTGGAAGCTGATTGTTTTCTATGCCCCACTATGTCTTTCAGAAAATATGTTGTGCTGTTTGCTTTCCAAAATGTGGTCATTTTGTGGGTATTTTTCCAGTCCTGGCACTTCAGGGACTCAAGAAATATGATAGGTAGTCAGGACATTACTTTAGACTCATAATTTATGCTCCTTGAAAGCCCAAAGGTGCTCCTTGGATTTTGGGATCTCTCTATGTATCTAGGCTCTGCAAACGTCTCACACATGTCATATCCTCATAGTCAGGAGGTGTAGAAGAATATGTTTTGGGTGTAATTGTAAGTATGCCTAAGCTATGTGTGAGAAAAAACTTTGTTAAATGATAACACTGTGAAAACATTTAATACATTTTTTTCATATTCCAAAAAATTGTAAAAAAAAATGACAACTTCAAAAAATTAAGAAATATCTTGGACTGTCTACTTTCCAAAAAAGAGGTAATTTGCGAGCTGTTTGTACTGTCCTGGCATTTTAGGGCATCAAGAAATGAGGCGGTCAGTAAGTCAGGAATAATCAATTTTCAAATATATATACCATAATTTAGGGACTCTGTAACTTTCACACAGACCCATTAATATACACTGACTTAGGTTATTTTTACCCTGTGGCAAAATACATTTTGGCCTAAATTTATGAAGAAAGATTATTTGTTTGTAAAATTTTATAACAAAAACTAAGAAACCTGTTTTTTCAAGTTTGGTGTTCTTTTTTCCTTTATATATCAAATTTTTTTTTCAGAAAACAGTATCAATTAAATACTGCCAAAAGAAAGCTCTATCTGTCTAAAAGAATTATATAAAACATAATCTGGGTGCAGTGTTACATGACTGTGTAATTGTCATTCAAGTGTGGTAGTGTTAAAAAATGGAAAAATGGCCTGGGCAGGAAGGGGGTAAAGAGTCCAGTCTCTAAGTGGTTAATAAATATGACAGCATGGGTCTAGGTGGATGGCGTGGTGGTAATGACATGTGCAGAGTTCTGTGTCTCCTTACAAAGTCTCTTTGAAAATAAAATAAAATAGTCCCAATATGCAAACAGAAGATAATGTTTTTCCTAGTATTCTCACCAGATGTGAAGACCCTTGTCATACCTGGATCTAATAAAGCTTGTGATACCAGATCTGATAATATTTGGATCTTATCAAAGCTTGCTGTAACAGACTTGAAAATGTGTCTTGTTTTCTGCTTCCTCTCTTCCCTATATCCTGCCCACATCTACATGACATTAATATAAGTAACAAAAAAATGTGTAGTATGCTCAAAATAATGACACACCTACTTCAATTAAAGTTATGCTCACATTAATGTGAATAAAATGTGCCACTACTCGGTGCTCTTCCATGCTCTCCTCCATCCCCAACGTTTCTTACCCGTTAAATGCAATTTTGCACATATCATATAACTTTTTTCACAAATTCCATTCAATAACTTCCTTGTTTATTGACCATTCATTCAAAAAACAAAATTACTATAGGCTATGGTTCTCTATTTTTCTCCTCCTGTGCACTGATACTGTATTAGAGTTCTACATGTGCATTCTATGGAGTATAGGGGAGTAAAAGCTTCTTTGTAAAAATCACTAGTGACCATCTTTCCACAAAATCTGTTGGAGTCTACCCTTCCACATGCTAAGGCAGGTTCACAATGCAAACATTATTACGCCTAAGTCTGTTTTTAATATAATTTCTCTAAAGTTTAAAAACAGAATTTTTATGAATGCTGCAGCTTTTCTCATAATACTATCATGTCATTCTACAAGTTCTACTCTTTGTTAAGATCCCCACTGTTCATAGGTTACAATTCATAATTCCTGTCCTAACATATGAACCTCTCAACACTCTGGCACCACTTTTATGTCCTTAATAATACCCAAGTATATGAAAAACAGGAACCTTTTATTTTAAGGTAAATACATTTTATCTGTATATTCATGCTTTATATAGCATGAACTAACCTAACAACATGTTTCATGTACCAGACTGTACTCTATCAAGGCTTAAAGTACATATGTGTATACATTTAAACCTTGTTGAAGGGCACTGTCTATCCCATGGAATGGGATGGACTGCGGATGAAGCATATAGGGACTGCATTCTTAAATCATTGTCTGTGCCTTAAGTCCTTTTTGAATTGAATGTGCATTCTAGCTGTACTATATGGGACTGTGGAAGGTGCTTCTATTGACAAGTGGCAAAGGGAACGTAAAATTACCCCCCCGGGGTTAACAGAGGTAGTATTTTGCTAAGTATTTTCTATGCAAAGTGTTGCAAAAATCAAATAAAGTAGTAAATATTGAAAAAAGAATGTTGGATAATAACGTAAAAATACATGTTAAGTATATGAATGCCGAAAAGTATTTTGGACGTAGATTAAAGAAGTATAGAGGAATTGAATGTATTTATTAAAGTGGTAAATTCTAGTAGCTTTAAAACCTTCCAATGCAAAAAGCAGGACCTGTAGCATTACAGAGCATGAACAACACAAAGTCAATGCAATGCACTTACAATAGACTCTGAACACTAGTGCAGGGCTCCACTATCAAATAATAGTATGATTGTGGAGGGATTGTCATGTTGTAATCTCTGCACTGGGGCTCCTGTAGTGGTTTATAGAACCCAGAAGCTATACTAGGGACTGTTTCAGAGTAATCTTCACCTAGTGATATTTAATCATACATTTGAACCCAGGCCAGGACATGTGAAAGATTAGATTATGATAAAATACCCTAGTGATATCCCATCTTTGCTGTCAACTGAGCATTGAAACCTATTTAGGAAACTGTAATTCAAGTAACTCAAATCAAGAGGAGTTTATTTGAATTTCAGCATTTTTGACTAGCATTGTTAAATATTGGGCTACTGCTCCACTGTTGGCCAGTTTGGTTAGCATCAATTAAACATAAGGGTTGCCAACCTTTGTCAGCTTGTGAACCACATTTATATATGAAGTAGCGTGAGCAACAGTAAACATGAAAATATAACACTGAAAAACTCTAGCTAACAAAAGTGGTAAACATTTTAAGAGAACTGTTTCAATTATGAAGCTCCTTCTTGGCTTCATTTATATAAGAAGTGCTTATAGCAGATGTCCTGGATCAAAGCCGTTTATTCCTCTCCTAATGCTCAAGATAAAGTAAAAGGCACTTACTCAGGCCTTCTCACCATATCTAATGGTACCTGGCAAGGAAGTCCCTATTCTTT